TTTTTGAGACAGAGTCTTTGCTATATAGTTCAGGCTGGCCTTGAACTTAACTGTGCAGCCCAGGCTGGCCTCAAATTCACTGTGATCCACCTGCCTCCGTCTTCTAAGTGCTAGAATTCAAGCATGCACCACCACACCTGGCAGTTTTAATTTTGAACAGGAAACCAAACAGCTTCACTATTTACCTAACACCACCTATTTAGAGGGAGATAAAATTAGATTCAGGGTCTCATTTTCCAGGGCTGAGGATGTAGCTTAGTGGGACAGCACTTGTCTAGCATGGACAAGGCCTTTGGTTCCATCCCTAGCACCTGTGGGGAGAGAGGGAAAAGGCTCACACTTTTGGATTCTTGGTACAGTGTTCTTTTGTTATATTGGTCTTGCTCAGGTTTACACACTGAAATGCCCATATGAGAAAAATTAGGGCGTGGTGGCAGGTGCCTGTAATACCTCACCTGGGAGGCTGAGGCAGGAGGATCACTGCAAGTTGAAAGCCAACCTGAACTACATAGCGAGACACTGTCTCAAGAAAAAAGAAAGAAAAAGAAAGGAAAGAGAAAGTATAAAGAAAGAAAAAGAAATTAGTGTCATACCACTCTGTATTCTGTTGCAAATTCCCAGCAATGTGTTTGCCATTTCTCCTTTCTACCCTCTCAGCTTTCCAGTTAATGATGTTTTGACATATTTTACTTCCACTAGAAGAAGCAAAGATCTTGACGGGTAGTAATGTGTCATTTTGGGCCTTCTTCACCAGGGAAACAGCATTTGTCATTGATATTGTACTAGTTTCAGCCATGTTCTAAGGAGGCCTCTGACTGGTAGTTATTTTGCTTGTTGATGAGTTTGGATTTATTTTGCAGTGCGTGTCTGGGATGTCCGTCCATTTGCCCCTAAAGAGAGGTGTGTAAAGATATTTCAAGGAAATGTGCATAACTTTGAAAAGGTGAGTGCTGTATGACAGAATGACTTTACTGTCCATTTAAGTGAAAGAAAGATTTAAAGTGATACTAAGGATAGAGAAGTGTGGCTTTGCTAAAAATGGGCTGTGTCCTACTAATTGTTCTTTATCAAAAAAATTTTTTTTTCTTGGTACCAGGGATCGAACTCGGGACCTTGCACTTTCAAGGCAGGTGGCAGCACCACTGAGCTAAATCCCTGGTCCCTCAAAATGTTTTGGGGGGGTTTTTTTGGTTTTGTGGCTTATTTTGGTACCGGGGATTGAACTTGGGACCTTGTGCTTGCAAGCCAGGCAGCGGCACCACTCAGCTAAATCCCCGGCCCTCAAAATTGTTTTCATGGAAAATAAAACTAATAGAGCTGGGAGAGACAAGAAAAAAAGTAAAAATAGAAGGAAAAAATGAAAACAAAGCTTTTGTACATAGGGAGGGGAGGGATGTTGGGAGGGGTGGGATAAAATAAAATTTATTTTAAAAAAATAATAGAGGCAGGGCCAGGGATTTAGCCCAGTGGTTCCATCGCCTGCCTCACAAGTGCAAGGACCCAAGTTCGATCCCTGGTACCAAAACAAAAAAACAAAACAAAAAATAATAGAGGCGAAAAAATAAGAAGAATAGAGGCATAGCAGAGAAGACAGACATATAACTAGATGGTGATGGGGCCAGCCCACAAACTGAGGACTTCGGGCATCACTCTACGCTAAGCAGGATACTCCTACCCTTTTATTCCTTGGGAATTTCAACCCTCTTAGATCAGTGTTCATATAGGACCCAGGTTCCCATAGCTGTTACCGAGATGGCCTCCCTCGTCTTCCCAGTTTCCGGCTGTTAGAAACCTAGGAATACACCCCTCCCTTCTATAAGCCGTACGGCCCAGGTTCTGAGAGACAAAATTTTTCTCAGATCTTCAAGTTTCCGGGTCAGTACTGTTGGAAACAGCTATTCCCCTCAAAAATCTGTTTATAGAGATTAATACTTTTGAGGGTGCATTGACATTGTTTCACTTAATAAATAAAATCTTATTTTTTTAATTGAGTTTGGTTTTATTTTTACTTTTCAAGACAGAATGAATAGAGAAGATTCTTTTTTTTTGTTATCGGGGATCAAACTCGCGTCCTTTTGCTTGCAAGGCAGGCGGCGGAACCACTGAGCTAAATCCCTGGCTGAAGAGAGAAGTAGAAAATATTTTTAATGAGCATCAAGATAAATGGAGCAAAACAAAAAAAAAAGATAAAGGGAGCCTCCATTTATAGGCAGAACAAATTTTTGTTGCCAGCTCTAATCTGATTAAATTATTTTCCACAGTTCATTTTGTGTGTGGTTCCAAGTATGCTGTTTTGGGCCACACACGTAAGATAATTGCTGATCATCTTTGTAGGAAGAATAATTTAAAGTCTGCTTAGGAAATTTAAAGTCTCTTGGTGATTCTATAGTCTAGTGAAGAGTTTGCTACATTACTTTTCAGAGGATTCTTTATTCATCATTACAGAATCTCCTGAGATGTTCTTGGTCACCTGATGGGAGCAAAATAGCAGCTGGCTCAGCGGACAGGTAAGCATTACTGGGTGTGAGGGAGAGTGATGGAGCTGTGCGGGTCTTCTCATGTTTAATATGTGAAGTATGAATATGGACTAGAGCGGAGTTACAGCTGTACTCAGAGATGAAGCCATGTGTAGTCTGAAGGGTTTAAAAATCCTGTTGGACAAACATCATTTCATATATGTGTGTTTGTGTGTATATAATTTCTATCTTCTTTAGATACATTTTAGACCTAAAGGGTCAACAATGTATTTGATTCTTTTTTTTTTGTTACCGGGGATCGAACTTGCATCCTTGTGCTTGCGCAGGAGGCGCAGTGTATTTGATTCTGTTATATTCTGTTTGTCATCAAAATAAAATTAGATTTTTCTGCCATGCTTTACTTCAGCTTTAGTTCATTCAAATACATATTTATTACTCACCTCCTTTATCATGGCATATTCTTTCATTCTCATGACTTTCCTTACTCTAATCTCCCTTCTGCATTCTCACCTCCAGGTTCTCTCTCAAGCCCCCCTTCTCCATTATCCAAACTTCCATATCTTTCTAGTAACCACCTCTGTGTTATGTCTATAAACTTTGCCTGGCCTTCTCTCTCCCTTACCTCATGGGCATAACTGATTGCTCTTTGCTACAGTCACACATCATACATCTAACCTTTATTAGTATTTATTACATCTTACTATCACACAAACATGGTGGAATATCCACTAAAATACTTGCTGCAGGGCCAGGGATTTAGCTCAGTGGTTTTGCCGCCTGCTGCGTAAGCGCAAGGACCCAAGTTTGATCCCCGGTACCAAAAAAATAAAATAAAATACTTGCTACAAAAGTCAGGTAATGAGTCTTGGCCATCTCTGAACCTGGGGCAGTGTTTGTCAAGCTCAAGGTGTCCTAAGCATTTAGTGAATATTACGTGAATGGGTTCCTAGCTCAAAGCTAGTGATCAAATTCTACCATACATATTAACTCAGCTCTTGGTATAACAGCCAGTGTCAAGAATAATTCAGAGCTGGATCTGGGCTCAGTGGGAAGTGCCACAAGTGCTCAGTGGGAAGAGCGTAACAACATGTGAGTTAGGTATTTCCCATCCCTGTGTCAAATTAATAAACTAATACTTTCTTATGTGTGAATTTAAACTGACTCAAAGCATTATGTGGTGAATGAAACAGGGAGGGAATTCTTCCATCAGATGCTGTTGTAATTGCTATCTTTGGTGACCTGTACTGTGCTTGGGAGGCAATCAGAGGTTGAATAGGTATGTCCAAGGTGTCAAGGCTGATGTGATAAAAACATTGGATGGTAAAGGGACTTTGTGACAACAAATTCTGGCTTTAACTTCCATTGGGAGTTGTCTTGATCCTGTTAGCTTAATTCCATCTTTTTCCCCTTTAGATATTCTCCTGCCCTACTCCAGCAAGCACTGCCTATAAATGGGAAGCCTTTCCCAGCGCTACAAAGCTTTTAGCACATTGCAGTTTTCCTGTTTGGAGCCCTAGAACTGCCGTGGAGAAGTTTCACATGATCTGTCCCACCCTCTTTGTAACTAATCCTGAACATACTTGAAAAACTCCAGTGTCTACTTTTTTTTTTTTCCTGACAAGTTTACTGCCAGGAAAAATGGACCAGTGCTGAGGTATTTTTTTGGAAGGAGGTGGTTCTAGGTAAAACAGTGCCACATTGACGATTTGAGACACCATGGTTTAAGAGGGAATCTAATGGATTTTCAGATGTCAAGTAACTAAAGATCTTAAGAAGCAGACTTGGCTGGGGATATAGCTAAGAAAGAAACAGAATAAGATTTGCTGCATTCTGACAGGGCAAGGACCATGCTAAGTATTTTTATATAATTTTCGGCAGCAATAGTATATCTTTCCTGTGTAATTAGTCTTTCAAGTTGTGTTTGCATAAGCTTTTTTTTTCCTTTTGAGACAGTGTTTCTCTATGCAATTCAGACTGGCCTTGAACTTACTGTATAGCCCAGGCTGGCCTTAAACTTAATGGAGATCCTCTTGCCTCAGCCTCCTGAATGCTGGGATTACAAGCATTTGCCACCATGCCCAGAAAGCCTTTTTTCTTGACAAGAGTAGTTTCTGACATTGGCCCATTCTGACTTTCAGTGTCCTTCCCACTGTTCCTTCCAACTTTCCATGTAGAAGTGTGGCTTGGGTCTGAAGAGAGCCCACCCCTACCTGCTGTGGTCGGCCAGATTTCACAGGCCACCTTGCCAGTTAGCCCCGAGTCAGCAACCAGCTCTGTTACATAAGGAGCCTGATTGCCACTGAATGTCGCCATGCCAAAATGATGAAAGGACAAAGAACCCTTCTAAATTTAGCATCTCATTGGCAGCTCTCAAGAATGAGGCTTTGAAGTAAACTGCTGAAGTTCTGGAATTCTGCTGCCCCTTATGTGCCTGGGAAATCTATCCTTTTTGTTTGTTTTGTTTTTTCAATACAGGGTGTTAAACCTAGAGCCTCTGAAGCCTCCCAGAATGCTGGAACTATAGGCATGCACCACCACACCCCGCTTCTTTTTTCTTTTCTTTTTTTTTTTTAACAAGTTCTCACTATGTAGTCCAGGCCAGCCTCAGACTTGCTATGTAACCCAGGCTGGCCTTGAACTTGTGATCCTCAGAACCTAGGTCTTTCTGACTTCAGTGCTCACACTGTTTCACTGTCCCACACTGCCTTTAGCTGGATTAATGGTGACCAGTTATTTATGCGTGGCAGGAAAGAAGATACCATGGAGGGCATGAGCATCAGAGCCAAGGGGTCTAGGCAGATGAGGTTCCTGCTTTTCTATCCTCTTAGAGCTTTTATTCAGTTCTGATGGACCTCTGTGAACCTTTGAGTCTGTGAACCTCTGAGCACTCAGCAGTATAATTAAGAAGCTCTTGTTTATTTGCATTTTAGAACAAAAGTGTAATGTTGGACCAGAACTTGGTAGTTAGTTTTTTTCAGTGCTGGAGATTTTGCCCAGGACCTTGTGCGTGGTAGGCACACACTCTGCTGATGAGCTACATCCCACCTCTTTGTTTTTTGTTTTTTGGTTTTTTTCCAGTACCAGGGATTGAACTCAGGACCTTGCACTTGCAAGGCAGGCACGGTACCACTGAGCTAAATCCCTGGCCCGCTCTTTGTATTTTTTATTTTGAAACAGAGTCTTACTGAGTTACCCAGGCTCACCTTAAACTTGTGATCTTCCTGCCTCAGCCTTCTAAGTAGCTGGGATTATATGCAGGTACCATTATACTTGCCTGGCTAAGAGTTCTAATTTTAGTTCTGCCACTAATGAAATATGTCACCTTGAAAAATTCACTGTACAGGCCTGGGGATTTAGCTCAGTGGTTATGCTACTTTCAAGACATTCCTGAATGATTATGAGGTTAACTGTACCCTAATTATACTAGACTGTCAGGAACATTTTTGTATGGGGCCTTTGTAAAGAAGCTGTTTTCATTTCTTCTCTATGATATTTCCCATTCCAGAAGTTTGTATTTGAAAATACCAGCAGTACTGAATTTTAACTATTTGTGTTTCTCTGTTCAGTTGCTCAAGAGCAGGGTCCATGTCTTTCCTCAAACTCTTCCTAGTTTCTAAGAGTTAGAACAAAGTTCAGTAAACATGGAGTGGTTTCCATTTCCCTTAAAGATTCTTACCTGTACCCCAGCTACACTTTTAGGAGGTCTCACCCCTGCTCTTTATGATACCTTGCAGGTTTGTGTATGTGTGGGACACCACAAGCAGGAGAATACTGTATAAGCTGCCTGGCCATGCTGGCTCCATCAATGAAGTAGCTTTCCATCCTGATGAGCCCATCAGTAAGTCTTTCCTGACTACTGGGAAAGGGGAATTGTGCTAGTCTTCCCGGAGGGGCCTGGGAGTACAGAGAAAGAAGTAGGCATCTGTTTTGTGTGAATTTCCATGTAAACAGTCCTTACAGGTATTGGTGACAGTCTTACCATCGCTGACCTAAGTGCTGAAAGTAAGAGTAATGTTCCATTTCCTTCTCTAACTGAAAGGAAAGGTTTGTTAGTCTAGTTTTGGTTGTTTTGTTTTGTTTTTTTGTTTTTGGTACCAGGGATTGAACTCTGGACGCTGCAATGTTTTCTTTTGTTTTTTGAGGCGTGGTCTTACTTTATAGTTCAACCTGGCCTAGAACTCAATATGTAGGCCTCGAACTGACAGCAGTCCTCCTGCCTCAGCCTCCCAAGTGCTGGGATTACAAAGGTGCGCCACCTCACCTGGCTGCTATTTCAATTTTTAAGACAAGGTATTGCTTTGTAGGTCAGGCCAGTCTTGAACTCACTGTGCAACCCAGACTAGCCTTGAACATATGGCTATCCTCCTGCTTCAGCCTCTTGAGTGCTGGGATTACAAGTGTGCACCACCACACCCAGCCAGTTTTTGGTTCTTTTTGTGTTTTCTTGCTTCAAGTCTATGCTTTAGTAATGTATTTGTGTGACAGAATTTGGCCTTGAACTCATAAGCGCAAGTAATCTGCCTCAGCCTCCCAGGTAGCTAGGACCTCAGGCTAAAACAGTGTTTAATTCTTAGGTATAAATTGCACCTTAAATTTCATTAGCCAGCTAAGCCAAACAGTAGACCTTAAATTTAAGGAGAAAATGTAACTTTCTCCAGGGCTAAATATAACAAGCAGAAGCATATTCCAAATGATTGGCACAGACATTGATTTCCTCTCTTCTACAGTGACTAGGAAGATCTTTTGGGGTTTGAGTGACAAGGGACATCAGGATTTAGAACCTGATAATGTATATCCCATAGCACAATCATCCTCATGGTTTTGAGAGGACTTGGGTTGAAAAGCCAGGCTACAATTTCCTGTGGATGGTGTTTAGGTGGGGAATTCAAGCTGAATCCAATTGCTCTCATATACCAAAATTGGCTCTTGACACAAGAGCCCTTGAGCACCAAGTCTCCTTGAGCCTTCATTATTTCCAGTCATCTTCTCTGTTCTCTTTACCTCAGTTCTCTCAGCATCTAGTGACAAGAGACTGTATATGGGGGAGATTCAGTGAAGATACAGGATGGAAGACTCTGAGGCTGCTTGACCTTGAGGCCTCAGGCCGCATAATTGGCTTCCAACGGTGCCCAGGTTCTCCTCCCTTCTTATGACCGCTACTAGCAAGAAACAAGAGCTGGTGGGCACATTCCATCAACCACTTGAACCCCAGTCAACCAGGATGATTGAGGCTCCCGGTGGCCTCTGATACTACCTGCCAGACTTCAGGGACCTGTTTCTCCTTTGTTTTGTTTTTAATAAGATTTCTTCAAACGTCTGCTGCCTGCCTCACAAGCGCAAGGTCCTGAATTTGATCCCCACTACCAAAAAAAAAGATTTCAAATGGACAAGACATTGATTGTTGCACAGTTTCCTGTTTTCTAATCCTGGCTGAAGACAGGAAATATCAACTGAAGTTTCTTGGTTTGTTTTGTTTTTAATTTAGTAACTGGCTTGTATGATTTCATTCTATGTTTTTGAGTCATTTTGTATTAAAAACCAAATAGATGCCTTTTTACAAGAGACATGTGAATTGCATGTGCTGCTTGCTATCTTTTCTTTGAGGCCTGATTGCTATAAATCAGAGCAGGGCATGACATGGTCAGGGGATACTATTTAACTTTTCTTTTCGTTTTGTTTTTTTTTTAGACAGGATCTCACCAAGTTGTCCGTGCCAGGTTCAAACTTTCAGTCTTCCTCCCTCAGCCACCCAGAGTGCCGGGGTGACAGGAACACACCATCTTGCCCAGCTTCATTTCAACTTCTGAGAAGCTGTTAGGTTTATTTCCCCCTTTTTTGTGTTTCTAGATTTCCTCACTCCCATCAAAATGACAGACAGTAATTAACAGATACTTTTCTCCTACTAGAAGCAGAGCAGTTGAAAAATGATAAATGCTGGGTGTGGTGGCATACACCTATAATACCAGCACTCTGAGACTGAGGCAGGAGGATCACAAGTTCAGTCCAAGCTTGGGCAACATAAGGAGTTAGCAAGACCTTGTCTCAGAATAAAATATCAAAAGGAACTGGGGATGTAGCTCAATGCAAAGGCAATGGGTTCATTCCCCAGTACTGGGCAGGGTTGGGGTGATAAAAGTCTTAAAAGAACCAGTTATTGTCTGCTTGAACTTAGACTAATGAACAAAGTCTGTGTCCTCTCTGGCTCCTGAACTGGGCCAATTTGCAATAGTCGCACTGGTAGAAAGTCGTTGACTAGCTGGGTATGGTGGCGTACACTTGTAATCCCAGCACTTAGCTGAGGCATAAGAATCACAAGTTTGAGGCCAGACTGGGCTACATAGCAAGTTTGAGTACAGCATAGACTACATAGTGAGACAGGTCTGACAGAGTTACTCGGGCTGGGCCCAAAATGGTGATGTTCCTTCCTCAGCTCCCCTGAGTGCTGGGTTATAAACATGACCCATTGTACCTGGTTAAGAGAGTGTTTTTGTGGAACTTAACCATGACATTACGTGAGACTTTGGTTCTATTTGTTTCCCTTTTCCCACACTGACAGGGACATTTAAAAATGCAGCTGGTTATGGTGGCACACACACCTGTAATTGTACTGCTTGGGAGGGTGAGGTAGGAGGATCACAAGTTCAAATCCCTCCTGGGAACTTAGTGAGACCTTGTCTCAAAATTAGCAATAATCACACCTCAGATAAACCTCAGTGGCTACGTTGCTGCCACTGCACAAAGCTAAAAATTAAAAATAAAAATGGCTGGGAATATATCATTATGAAGGTCCTGTGTTCAATTCCCAGTACCACAAAAAATAATAATGCCAGGTATGGTGGCACATGACTGTAATCCCAGCACTCAGGAGGCTGAGGCAGGAGGATGGCTGCAACTTTGAGGCCAGCCTCAAAGTTAGATAGATAGTTCAAGGTCAGCCTGAACTACATAGCAAGACTGTCTCAAAATAATAATCATCATCACCTATGATTTGCCTTGTATCATGCAGACAAGTTATTGTCTTCCTGGATCTCTGGGTGACTGCCTAGCACTCAAACGAGCATTAATGAATCTCATGTGCCACTAGGGAGTAAAATTTTTTTTCCTGAATCTCCCATCTCAAAGAGGTCTTCGAGGGCCAGCGATTTAGCTCAGTGGTTCCAGCGCCTGCCTTGAAAGTGCAAGGTCCCGAGTTCGATCCCTGGTACCAAAAAAAAAAAAAAAAGGTCTTCGCATCTCATTTTCACCCTATTCTGGGCATGTTTGGTTTTATACTGTAGTTTACAAACTACATAGTCAAGGTTGGCCTTGAACTCATGGTGATCCTCCTCCCTCAGCCTTCCAGGTGTGCACCACTGTGCTGGCTTAGTTTACAAATTTGAGTCATATACTGTATTTATATTTAGTAGGAGAGAAGATATTACCCTGGGTTTGGGGCATTATCATTCAAAAAACACCAAGCCCTATTCTGCGTCAGGTTTGATAGTTGTTGTTGAGGGCTGAAGATCCATTCTTGCCATCAACCAGTAGAAGAGACTATCTCAAATCAATTACTGTTTTATTTTTTGAGTGAGCACATGCCAAAGATTTATTTAACTCATTAATGAGGAATCTAGCAGGATGGTAAAGCTCTCAAACCAATTATGTTTACTACAATGAATGAAGTTTGAATAAAGTACACTGGGAACACAGGAGGAAGCAATTTATTGTGCCAGGGAGAGATGAAGTTACACAGATTATGTGATTGTGCTTAGATCTGGACATGGAAAATGAGTAGGGCTTGTCAAGGGGACAAAAAATTGTACATTCCAAGAAACAGAGGCACAAGCTTGAATGTGTTCGTGTTTCGTGAACCAAGGAATGAGTCTGATTGGTGATGGGAAGCAGCACAGGAAAGTAGGAGCCAATCCTGGTGAGCTTGTACTTCAGATACTTGGTCCTCTAGGTGAAGGTTTCCTAAAATTATTCACAGAACACCATTTCCCAGACAGGTTGTTATGTACTTTGGGGCATAAAGATGGCATGTTCAAAGTACTGCAAAATCTCCAGAGGCAATGGTGACTCTCAGATTTCTGGTCTGAACAATAATTTTGTAAATTGTTACACCCTTAACAAGGAGAGATTTGGCTGAAGATGGCATATGAGCTGCTCTCCGTGCCTCCAGCACTATCACAAGTGACTGGGTTCAGTCCCTTCTCTCGTTTTTCTGGGCTTGGGATAAAGGAAGGCTTGAACCTTGACACTGCACTGTTCAAAGCCCACCAGTCCCTTGAGAAGTTGGCAGTGACTGGGAGGACGTGAGGTCCTGGAAGCTGCAAGGGCTTTTCTCTAACCTCAGCCTCTTTAGTCCTCCCAAGTGCCTTCAAGAAGCTACTGGGTAGGAGCCACTACCAGGAAACAGCAGTGCCTCTTAGGAGTTGAAGAGATAGAAGACCTAGCCTGGGGAATAAAGGTTTGAATATAAAACATCCCCAGAGGAGGGTGCACATTGTATTCTCACTTTGGGAGAGATAGATTGCTCCCAAATGAGTCATGGCATCTCTGGTTTTCAGTTAATTTCCCTTTATGGCTTCCACAGTCTCTAGCACTTAATACTGTTGGCACGTAAAGAGCCAAATTTCTTCTTTGCTGGGTGGTTTTTGTGGGCTGAATGTCAGGGAAGTGGATGTTCAGGACTTAGCAGTTTTTGCTAGCCTTGCCTTTTTTCCGCTAGCTTGTAGCCCCAATCCCATTTGGTCCTAACCCCCTAAATAGTTTATTTGCCAAGCCATCAAAACACTGGTTGGTGCCATGTTCTCTCACCTACCTGACCTGGTTGTACACAGCTGACCCTTTTGCAGGTGAGAGAAATGAAGCTGTGGATCCCTTCACAGCCCTCACAGTTACCAAGGACAAGTCCTGTAGGGAGCCAGATCCAGTTGTCCTCTGTTCCAAGCAACCATAAGAAGTGAAGCTGCTGTCTTCAAAGACAAAACCTTATCCAGGGCTTGGGTCTCGGTAGCTAATATGGACAAGTCAGGCTCTTGGTAGAGTTGTTTCTTCACAGCAAAACTATAGACTATTTGCTTCTCATTGATAGATCTAGAGTCTACTATTTTTTTTTTTTTGTACCGGGGATCAAACTCAGGACCTTGCATTTGTGAGGCAGGTGGCAGCACCACTGAGCTAAATCCCTGGCCCAAGTCTACTCTTTATTAATAGCTCAAAGTGGAGGGTGGGAAATCAATTGGTAAAAGAATGCTTAGCAACTTGAAACTGCGGGCACTTGAGCCTTAGGGAAAGGATGTCATGCCATTTGGCTTAGGACAGGATTGTTCCTTTGAAGAGATTGGGGTGTGGGGGTGCTGGAGGTGTGGCTCAGTTGTAGACCGTGTGCTTAGCATGCATAAGGGCCTGGGTCCAATTCACAGCACCAAAAAACAAAACATCTTGGGGCTTTACAGCTAAGACAAATGGAAGATCCAGCCTTAACATCAGCAGCCCATGTTCCTGTGGAACCAAATGAAGCCCAGTCAGCTCCAGCCTGCCCTGATCAGTAGTCTATCCTGACCCATGATGACATTCTCTAAAAAAATTCCAGGAGCTGTCAGGAGTGGACTCCTGGCTGCAAGTTCTTTTCCTCACTGTACTCTGCAGCCCACCTAGATTTTGGATTCTTCTTTAACTCGGGGCAGATGGCAGATGTCCTAGGTGGGCATTTTTGTCCCTGAAAAGGACATTTGACAGTGGAGATACCTAATGGGGTACTACACATCTAAATGAGTAGAGGACAGAGAATTAGCTCCTGAATATCACTGTGATGCCACTGAGAAACCCTGTGTTAGAGCAGTGACTCAACACCTTGCTAAAAATGTAAATTCCAACCTGGGAGGCTGAGGCGGGAGGATTGCTGTGAGTTCAAGGCCAGCCTGGACTACACACCAAGACCTCAAAAAAAACAAAAGTAAATCCCAAAGACCCACAGATCCCTGAGACCCACTGAGTCTTACTGAATGAGATTTCCGGGGAACTGGGGCTGGGAATGTAGATCACTGGTAGAACACTTGCCTACTGTGCATATGGCCCTGGGTTTGGTCTCCACCACTAGAAAAAAAAACTTTCAGAGGGGTGTTTTGCAGTCTGTTTTAACAGGTCCTCCAAGTGGTTCTGATGCACATTTGAGAATCATTCTACACACTCAGAAAGTTTTAGTCTCTCCTACGGTGGCCACAGAGGCTCCTATTTACTCCATAATTGTTCTTCACTATTAGTTATGCTTTTTGGCTCACCACATGCAGTACTGACTTGATTCTCACCTATGAGACAAAGAATTTAACCAGGCATGGTGACACACACTTGTAATCCCAGCACTCTGAGAAGCTGGGGCAGGAGGATTTCAAGTTCAATCCCAGCCAAGGCAATTTAGCAAGACTGCCACAAAAAATAAAAAGAGGGCTGAGGATGTAGTTCAGTGTGCAGGCCTGAGTTCAATCCTCATACTACAAAAAAAAAGGAAAGAAAAAGAGAAGAAAAAAACCAAAGAGGAGTAATTTGCCTAGTATCATCTAGCTGGTCCAAGAGGCAAATC